AGAAATGGTAGAGAACACTTTGTGAAAATCCTTATGGGGTTGTCATCTTTTCCTCATGCTACTTTTCCAGTCTCATTATGAATCCACCTCAATCAGTATGAGAAGCACATGGGCAGCAGAAAGGACCAGGCAGATACTTAGAGGCAGAAGGGCCAGGGAATCCTCCTATTGCCCTCTTTGGATTTGGCTCTCTCCTAGTTGTCTTTTGTATGTTAAGCAGGAATGTTGAGCACACATGAAATTCAGAACAGCCTGCATGAATGGTTTTGATTGTCACATAAATATGAATATACAAACGATTACAGTAGGAATAAAATTTATTTCCAGTACTCAATATTATCTGCTCCTTGAAGCTATGCAAAGACTAATAAGTGCATAAACTTGATTCACAGTTATCTTTACAGCCACAGACACATTAATTGAGAGTCTACAGAAAGGCTTTAGTTTCTTTACAAATTAAAAGGGGATACATGTGCTGTTTCTGCTCATTTGCTGAGTATGCAACTGGAAAACCCAATCTTCTATTCTGGGATTTAAAGTCTGGTACCTTCGGCAAATAACATCATCAGTATTTTAAAGTCATATTGGCTTTGGTGAGTAGCAGTGGAATTGCCGTCCCTCCTTAAATCCTTCTCTGAGGCACCCTTTTTCTGTGGTGTGCCTGACAACATTAACCCTTCTCCCTTGAGCACAGGTGCATGCCAAGAGCAGAAATTTCGAGGGAAGCTTTGGTAAGCCCAGATCCCACTAGCAATCCCCGCTGTCCCTACCAGGCCTTGATTTTAGCATCAACCCAAAACTTTTTTAGATTTTTATGGACTCTGCTTTACTTTGATGTAGAATGTCTGTAGATTCTTGTCCACTGTCTAAAACAGAGGTGGTCAAGGAAGGCTTCTGCCCTTCAGATGGGTTATTTTCACAGCATTACAGGCAGGAGACTCCATGCCCTGAGGCAGATCTTGGGCCTTTAAGACCATCAGAAATGCAGTTAGTTTGGATCAGACCCGGGTTCCTAAAACCCTGGAGTCAGTTCTCCAGAAGGGCAGTATGACTTGCAGAACCCTAAAGAGGCAGAAAACCTCTATTCCCCATGGAATCTTTAATCTTCTCAGGCGAGTTCTGTTTCTGTTGGAAATCCAAGACTTTGCAAACAGGATAAGATCTTCTAAAGTCACAGGGTGAATATAATGAGTGCAGGACTTAGGATAGTTAGGCAGCAGGGAGAACTGGGCTAAGTATTTCCTTTCATTAGTGTCTATATAGGCAGTGATTTCCTTAACTAAAGAAAAGCGATGGAGGCAGCTTCCCCCTCCCCTATTAAAAGGAGGAAGATGGATATCTTTAATTGAAAGCAAAGCATCACAAAATTATTTAATTATAAGCTCAAAGGGGCTTTGAGCTCACCTTGTATCTTCTTGGCTTTCAGCAGGATGGCATTAAGCTTTCCTAAAAAGATAAGACTCAACCTATTTTTAAACATATCCAAAGAGGACATTCCGGTTTCTGTTCCTTTGTTAGACAGGGGACTTTTTTTCCCTTTCTAACCTCACCACAGGTGAACTTTTCCTATTACTAACCTGAAGTCTTCACATTTGAGTTTGGCTTAGTTTGCTCAGCAGAGCTGGTGAACAGCTGGTTACCATCAGCCTTTTCTAAACTGTACCTCCATCTGTCCATCTGTATAAAATTATAACAATTAAGATATTTGGATTTAAATCAATAAATTTGAAGCTAGATGCCAACTGAATGACTCACTGACATGGCAAAAGATTGCCTCCCTTCTTTTTGCCATAGCTTTTCTTATTTCTGCCATTAGCTCTAACGCTAACAACTCTCCCTTTTCCATCTCTCTTGCAAAACCCTCACACACAAGTTCACTCACACACACACAAACACACACACGCAAATGTGCACACTTATACCGGTAAACAGAAAAACATCCCTGAAGCAGCTAGTTAACCCTTACACCTTACCCCTCACTATTCATATTGAGGGGTAAGAGTTCAGGGTCCAGACTCTGGAACGCACTGTCTGGGCTTAAATCCTGGCTCTGGAACCTTGGAAACATTTTGTAGTCTCACTGTGTATGCATTTTCTCATCTGTAGAAAGGAAACAATAATAGTATCTATCTTATAGGGTTGTGGAAATGATTAATGAGTTAATACATAAAAAGCTCTTTGAATCCAGTCTGGTACTCTCATCCTAAATTTTATAGAGTTGTTAGCTATTGTTATAACCTTCTTGCAGCAAAGAGATATTCAGAGGCATCAAACTATGTCCAGTATTCCAGATGCCAAGAGTTTGAAAAAGAACAGGAGTGAGATTCAAGTTTAAGGGAATTGGGTAACCAGAGTGAAAGATAAAAGAAAAAAAAAGGGCAAAAAGCAAACAGGAGATTGACAAAACGACAGAGAAAGGACAAAAGCAGGTATTTAACAGGGAAAAGGTAGAGGAGAACATAAGGGAAAGGAAGATAAAGAAGAAATGGAAAAGAGAAACATGAGTAAAAAGGTGAGTATGTAAAGGAAAGACAAGAGAAAAACAGGACCAAGAACAACAAAGGAGATCAAAAACTGGAAGAGACCCCATTTGCAGTTTGAGTAGGTATCACAGGAAAAGGGGAGTGGAAGAGAAAACAAAACTATTGGCTGTGGAAGCAGGGAAGCTTGGGGCAGAAGGGATGGGGGAGAGAGGAGGCTCGAAGTGGTAGGAGACTAGGCTGCATTTGTTATTTGCAGCTTTTTGTCTCTTTAAATTATAGGACTCTGCAAGCTCACTTAACCTCAAGGCTCCTGACCCTGTTCCTCCTATTCCAACTTGCTTTTAATCTCTACCCCAGACTTAGCCCATAAGGTTTGCTCTGGTCAGATGTCTGCCTTGTGCTTTTGGCCCGACAAGGCCAAAATGCAGTGATGCAGTCTTTATTTCATTTTCCCTAATCAGTCATCATTTTCAAGTGAAATTTAGCTCTGGAGCAAATATTTACATCCCCTTTCTACTCCAAACATTCAGAAATCTAGAAGGGGAAACTAGTATTTTATTTTTTAAATTATTCATCTAACGGCATTCCCATTTTTGGACAATTAAGAAGAGATAAAAAACGATACAATACGACAGGAATAGGTCGATTTTCGGACTCCAACGTACCCTCCCTATTAAAGGGACTTAATTGCCTAACCTTTTGGAAATAGGAGAGAGGTTGCACCGAGGTTTAAAATAAAGTCAGCATTTAAAAAATACTTTTTAAATTAAGAATCATCGTGATTAAATTGCATCGTGATTAAAATACATCCCCCTATTTGAGGAAGTAGAGAGACCTTAAAAGACCCTCTTAACAGATGAACTGAACGGACCGCGAGCGTCTCCTCACGCCGGGGTGATCCTGGGCCGTGGCCGCCGCCGCCGCCAGAGTCACGAAGCCAGACGCAGTGCGCGTCTCCGCCCAGGACTCCCGAGACTGCAGCAGCGCGAGCGGCCGCCGCGGCCCGGGCTGCTCTTGGAGTCTGGGCGGAGACGCGACTCCTGCAGACACGTGACCTCCTCCCAGCCGCAGCTTCCCGCGACCCAGATCCGTCCCCGGAACCCGTGCCCGGCGGGGCGGGCCGGGGGACACGTAGCGGGCGCCTCAGTCCCTGCTGCGCCCCGGTGCGTGTACCTTCGGCGTTCTTCTCCACTTGGTTCGCTTATCATTGGCGATAATTAATGTTTCGGAGATCACCCCCAGGAGAATGTAAATATCCCTCACGGTGCAAAAAAAAAAAAACAAAAAACCTTGGTTTCATCTCTATGCATTTATGTATATCCAGAGAAATAGATATCCCTTCCATCCCACCCCTGGGAGTCCCTCAGGACAGACATGCTTTCTCCTGGGCTGGCAGGGCGGCGTGGGCAGTGCGCATCCCCGGGCACCTCCGGATAACTCTCACTAGCAGTGAGTCATGCTCCCGGGGTGGCTCTGGGGAAAGGTAACCCGGCTCTTGCTGGCCTGTGCTTCCCCGCGCCGAGCGCAGCGGCTGCCGGGCGAGCGCGCGCGCGCACGGGTTCCCCGAGCAGTGATGTGGCAGCAGCGGCAGGTCGGATCACGTTGCTGGCCCTGTGCTGGTACCCGTTTGAGACAGGATTAAGGAGGGAGGCTTTGGAGGTGCCAGCGGTAGTAAACGTGGGCTCTGCACACTCCGGGCGTCTCTTATCGCGCAGGGGGCAGGAGGATGGGAAAAGCACGTAGCGTCACCGGAGGCTTGGAAAGCCGCGGAGTTGAGCGGGTGGGTGATAAATGCTGCATTGCTTTTCTGCGGTAGACCCTCTCGTGCCACCCTCATTCTCCCTCCCCAGCCCCCACTCAACCTCGGCTAGCTCCCTGCCGCCGCTTTCCTCCAGGAGCACACGCGGCCCCAAACGTCGTCATCTGCTACTGTGATTAGTGGCACCGCAATTCCGGCTGCTGCGGGGAAGTTTAGGTGGCCCAGGGACGCCGTGTCACCGAAAGACACTTGGAGTGCGACATTCTGACCCAGTGACAACGTTTTCATGTATCTTAAATCCTTCAAGGAGCGGATTGCAAGTTGCTCCTTCTCAGGGGCAACCTGCACCCAGCGCCCAGGAGTCCCCCCAGGCCACTGATCAGTGAACAAACAAGTCTCCAAGATTTCCGTTGGAACTGAAGTTTACCCACCGCGAATTCTCTTTCTCTTTCCTTTCTGTGGTCCAAACCAACAGCACAATCGGTGGAAAAGCAAAAAGCCACGTTCACATGCCTGCACCGTAATAACGGACGAACCCAGGGAGTCGCATTTCCGAGCCAAGGAAGCTCAGGCTGCCCCTCACCCCTGCACCCCAACTCCCCCCACCCCCTGCTGACTGCACCGCCTTTGCAAAGATGAATAGCTTGGCCGAAGTTGTTTTTCCTTTCCGGTGGCCCTAACCAGGTGTCCCCGCCCCCTCCTGGCGTTCGCCTCCTTTCGCCGCCTTCTCCCGACGCCCCCTCCCGGCCCGGCCCCTCCTCCCCCGCCCCCCTCCGGGCTGGACCGCGGATGGTACGTTCCGCACGTGAGCTGGGTGCTGGTCTGGCCGGCGACGCGCGTGCCCTGTGGCCAAACACTGCCTGGAGTGAGAGCAAACTACCAGCGCAGTGGAGCCGGCGCGAGTGTGCGTGTGTGTGCGTGTGTGTGTGCGAGCGCGGTGGAGGGGGGGGGACCAACTGCTTCACACTTTCAACACTGCACTGAAGAGGCAGAGCGAGAGAGAGAGACTGGAGACGCAAAGATCCCCCCAAGATCTCCCAAGCCTACCGTCCCACAGATTATTGAACAGAGCCCTAAAAATCGAAACAGAGGAAACGAACAGCAGTTGAACATGGACGAAGGAATTCCTCATTTGCAAGAGAGACAGTTACTGGAACACAGAGATTTTATAGGGTAAGGTGCACGCACCCTTGCAAATATCTGTCTAGGCTTTGGTTTGATTTTTTTCTTCTCCAGAAAGTGGTATGGAGCTTGCGAGGACAGAGCCCCTCCCCGAATGGTGCCTGATGCTGATTTCTGTTTTGCAGACTGGACTATTCCTCTTTGTATATGTGTAAACCCAAAAGGAGCATGAAACGAGACGACACCAAGGTAAGTGTAAGTTCCCGATGTTCTTCATAACCTGCATGGATAGTTAATTAGGGCCATTGATTTCACAGTGAAGCTCTGCCCGCAAATATAATTCAGCCCCTGGGCTTCCACAACTGTGAATTTTAAGTGACTTGCTGGGTACCCTCAGGGGGATATTAAACATCATACCTGAATATAAATTGCATTGCAGAACAGTCCAGAGGAAAGAGGTTTCTTGGGTGTAGTTTGTCACACAGTATGTTTTATTGGGGGGGGGGGGTCAGATGAGGGTAATATCCAATAAGTGAATGTTTCGCTTATTGTTTTCTCTCTTCCACGACTCTCATATATTAAGGATACCTACAAATTACCGCACAGATTAATAGAAAAGAAAAGAAGAGACCGAATTAATGAATGCATTGCTCAGCTGAAAGATTTACTGCCTGAACATCTGAAATTGACAGTAAGATGCACATTTTCATCCTTTACTGCTCTCCAAGGGCTCTCTGGGAGCCTGGTGCGACTCCCAGAAAATATGAGAATAAATGTAAATATAAGTTCCTAACTTACAACTTGTGCTATACTGTACAGAGTTTCCCGCAAACTCAGAGTAGGTGCTCCCAGCTGAAGGCAAGAAATCATTTATAACCTGTCTTGTGGAAAGCTCAAGAAGTATAAGAATAGTACTTCTTGCAAAGAGTTTACTTAAATTGCTGTGCTGAATGGACAACCATTCAAGACAAATGTGTGTTTTTAAGTAACCAAATGCCCCTTTCTTTTTTGCACCACTGCAGACTCTGGGGCATCTCGAGAAAGCCGTAGTCTTGGAATTAACTTTGAAACACTTAAAAGCTTTAACCGCCTTAACCGAGCAGCAGCATCAGAAGATAATTGCTTTACAGAATGGTAAGTCAGTTCAGGGAGGCCAGCCTACCGGGGTAGGCTGAAGCCGGGTAGCCTACAGGGAAGCAGTGTCAGGACTCCCTCACCCGTACCCCACCCTCCTTCCGTGGGCGCAAGGGTTCTCTCTCATTTGTTAAATTGCTTATACTTTCCCTTCATTGGAAAGATCCCATTTCCCGAAGCATCCTAAAGGCTTTCAGTAGAACTCGGAGGAATCAGGTTTTTATTTAAAGTGGCGGTTGCACCCTCTCCACTTCGGTTTTCAGCTGGGAGGAGAGCGCCCCCTCCCCGCTCCGCACCTCCGCCACCCTCCCCTTCTCTTGGCAACCGGTGGATTATATCACTTGAATACTGGGGAAAAACCGAGATCACTTTAGTCGATGCAGGGCCCACGTGATAAGCAGATGTTTTAACGTGGGTATGTTTCTTCTTGCCTCCACTCCTCCGTCCCCCACTCCCACCCCTCACCCCATCTTCATCCTAGGGGAGCGATCTCTGAAATCGCCCATTCAGTCCGACTTGGATGCGTTCCACTCGGGATTTCAAACATGCGCCAAAGAAGTCTTGCAATACCTCTCCCGGTTTGAGAGCTGGACACCCAGGGAGCCGCGGTGTGTCCAGCTGATCAACCACTTGCACGCCGTGGCCACCCAGTTCTTGCCCACCCCTCAGCTGTTGACGCAACAGGTCCCTCTGAGCAAAGGCACTGGCGCTCCCTCCGCTGCCGGGTCCGCAGCCGCCCCCTGCCTGGAGCGCGCGGGGCAGAAGCTGGAGCCCCTCGCCCATTGCGTGCCGGTCATCCAGCGGACTCAGCCTAGCACCGAGCTCGCCGCCGAGAACGACACGGACACCGACAGCGGCTACGGCGGCGAAGCTGAGGCCCGGCCGGACCGCGAGAAGGGCAAAGGCGCGGGTGCGAGCCGCGTCACCATCAAGCAGGAGCCTCCCGGGGAGGACTCGCCGGCGCCCAAGAGGATGAAGCTGGATTCCCGTGGCGGCGGCGGCGGCCCGGGGGGCGGCGCGGCGGCGGCAGCAGCCGCGCTCCTGGGGCCCGACCCTGCCGCCGCTGCCGCGCTGCTGAGACCCGACGCCGCCCTGCTCAGCTCGCTGGTGGCGTTCGGCGGAGGCGGGGGCGCGCCCTTCCCGCAGCCCGCAGCCGCCGCGGCCCCCTTCTGCCTGCCCTTCTACTTCCTCTCGCCTTCTGCAGCCGCCGCCTACGTGCAGCCCTTCCTGGACAAGAGCGGCCTGGAGAAGTATCTGTACCCGGCGGCGGCCGCCGCCCCGTTCCCGCTGCTGTACCCTGGCATCCCCGCCCCGGCCGCGGCCGCCGCCGCCGCCGCTGCTGCCGCCGCCGCCGCCGCCTTCCCCTGCCTGTCCTCGGTGTTGTCGCCCCCTCCGGAGAAGGCGGGAGCCGCGGTCGCGACCCTCCTGCCGCACGAGGTGGCGCCCCCTGGGGCACCGCACCCGCACGGTCGCACCCACCTGCCCTTCGCCGGCCCCCGCGAGCCGGGGAACCCGGAGAGCTCTGCTCAGGAAGATCCCTCGCAGCCAGGAAAGGAAGCCCCCTGAATCCTTTCGTCCCAAAGGACGGAGGTTCAAGCGGAGTGAGAAGTAAAACACCCTTAACGTCTTTAAGGGAGGAAGTGTAATAGATGCACGACAGACATAAACAAGAACAAAACAGGTGTTTTGTGTACATTTGGAGTTCCTTCCTGTTTTGCTCCTTCCTCAGCACCCCACCCTCCACACACTAACATCCCTTTCTTCCCCCCACCAGCTGTAAAAGATCCTTTACGAAAGACATTGGTTCTTTTCTTTTCTTTTTTTTTATAATCCCCCAAATAAGTTTTGCCCTCTTTTAGGCCATGTTCCATTATCTCTTAAAATTGGAACCGAATTCGAGAGGGAGTAAGAAGAGTGTTCTGTGGGTGAGCGAGGTGAACCGGGTTAGGGGGAAGATGTTAACACCGTTGACGTCTTTGACTGCAGTTGACATGGAACAGCAGGTAGTTATGTAGAGCTACTTCTCAAAACTGCCCTGCCTGTTTTAGGAGGCTTTCCACAAACAGATTGAGGATCTTTTAGAATTAAATTTACTCTTCACTATTTTATAATATTCAGCTTTCTGAAAGGCATATATTTTCAAAGAAGTGAGGATGCAGTTGCTCACGTTGCAAGCTATTCTGAAGTGGTTTAAATGGTATCGCTTAATAACTTGCACTTGTTAAAGAAACACAGAGCTGGGCCGTCATCAGAACTAAGTCAGGGAAGGAGATGGATGAGGAAGGCCAAAATCATTCCTAGTACATTTGCTAACACTTTTTTGAGAAATTGACTATGAATCAATGGACTCACCTTAATTTCTTCTTAGTCCATATATAGATATCTATCTATACAGATTTCTATCCATAGATAGGTACCTATACATATGTAACTCAAGTGCATCTATTCCCACTCTCATTAATCATTTTCCTAAATTTTTATAATCTTACTGTAAAAAGTGCACTGAACTTAAAAAAGTCCAAGCTGATATACCCTATATTCTGTTAAATGACAGAAGTGAATGAAAGCATTTAACTTGTCAGTTTTGATTGGAGATGCTGTAAAGATGTGGAATGAAGTCCTGTGAGGCCTTCCTATCTCCAAGTCTATGTATTTTCTGGAGACCAAACCAGATACCAGATAATCACAAAGAAAGCTTTTTTAATAAGGCTTAAACCAAGACCTTGTCTAGATATTTTTAGTTTGTTGCCAAGGTAGCACTGTGAGAAATCTCACTTGAATGTTATGTAAGGGGTGAGACACAACAGTCTGACTATGAGTGAGGAAAATATCTGGGTCTTTTCGTCAGTTTGGTGCATTTGCTGCTGCTGTTGCTACTGTTTGCCTCAAACGCTGTGTTTAAACAACGTTAAACTCTTAGCCTACAAGGTGGCTCTTATGTACATAGTTGTTAATACATCCAATTAATGATGTCTGACATGCTATTTTTGTAGGGAGAAAATACGTGCTAATGATATTTTGAGTTAAAATATCTTTTGGGGAGGATTTGCTGAAAAGTTGCACTTTTGTTACAATGCTTATGCTTGGTACAAGCTTATGCTGTCTTAAATTATTTTAAAAAAATAAATACTGTCTGCAAGAAACCAGCTGATTTAGAAAAGTTTAGTATGTGAAGATAAACTAGAAATTATCTTTATATTCTAGTATTTTCAGCACTCCGTAAGTTCTATTACCTAAATATTGCCACACTATTTTGTGATTTAAAAATTCTTACTAAGGAATAAAAACTTTAATATACAACATGATACTGTCTAATAATTAAAAAAGACATAATGGCTGCTCAATTAGTTTTAAGATATCTATGACTATAGGGATACAAATCACTAAGATTCTTAGATACACAGTTTTTTGTCATTGGCTTGATGTCACACGTTTCCAATCTCTTGCAAGCCTCCCGGCTCTGGCTGTACCTGCTTGTTCCCAATGTATCTTAATGGAAAGTGCAAAAGAAAAACCTACCAATTAACTTGTGCGGTTTGTTTATATTAGACCCAATTTTCTATTGTTTTTATGATTGACAGGTTTTTCACTTTTCATTTATGACATCAGATAGCCTCTCTTGTATGGTCAGGTGTTTCTCTTTCTCTGGGTCTTGTATAAATAGATGATCACATAGGGGTGCTTAATTTGAGAGTATTTCGGCTTCTTAATTTTTATAAAATAATTCTGTCATGGGACTTAATCATGGAATTCCAGGATACGAATTACTAGACTTTTCTCAAATTTCCATTCAGATCTGTGATTTGATACAAACTGAGTGAAGGACTGTCAGCTTTTAGTTTCAGGAATGTTCTTCACAAACCCCTTGATTTTTGAAAAATGTTCAAATGAGAGATTGTATAAGATGTAGAAAAAGTGCTCCCTCTGCTGACTTTATGGCAACTGAACTGCCAGTCATACAGTGTGGAGCCAGAAGGAACTACAGCTCATCCAGTCCCCTGCATTTCCTGATAGGAAAAAAAAAAGGAAGCCCAGCCATATCTTCCCAAGGTCACAGAGCTACCTAGAGTCAGCACTAGCACTAGCAGCCAGCTCTGTTGTATCCCTCAGTCAGTGAACTACTTCCCATTACAGTATCTTGGACCTAGTAAGCTGAACTTGATTGAGTAGCCTTCAGGAAGCTTCATAACAAGCCATAGAAAAAAGGAAATTGAAATTAACACTAGAAAATTATGTAATATTTTTGAGCATTGTTAATTTATTGAACTTTAGCAAACTAGTCTATCTGAATCAGAATAATGGGAAAAACAAAATTTCAAATATTTTGAGCTAGATTTTAATGCCACTACTACAGTAATATTAGTTTCATAACCAAAAAGGATTAAAACTAAATCAGAGGATAATACAATGTTTTTATCATGTGTATAATTTTAGTATAATGAGATAGAAAAACTTCAGAATTGAGCCAGATTATATAGGCCAGTTGTTTAGTCCAAGTGCCCATATGGTAACATGATAAGATAAAGTTAGAACAGAAAAGCAAAAGTAATATTGTCTATATTGCATCTGAAAATCTGAAAAATGTTATTTTGGTCATTGATTTAATGAATTAAAAGGCTGAAGTCATAATTCACTAAGGAGGCTTCTATATTTGTAGTGGTGAAATTTCAGCTAAAATGATTTTCCAACTTCAGGCAAATACAAGTCTTGAGTCAATAATGCTTTTATAAGTATAATATTATACTCATAAAAATTTAATTTTACATACCTATATTTTACATAATCTTCATAAAGATTAATTTTATATACACATATTTCTTAGCAAACTTTATACTGAATTTAAAAAATGGCCCTTCCTCCCACCCCGAAGAGCTAACTTTAAGCACGTTTTCAAGGCACTTAGAAACAACACTGTAATAGCTATGTAAAACTTGACTGGAGTTTTAGTTCCTATCATTGTGAAACTATTTTTCATTTAGTTCCTTGTTTCTGGCCAACCAGGCCATGACTTTGGTTATTGCCCATCGCCTGAGATTTGTTCAAAAGTTATGTAAAAGGAGGCTCAACCTGCTCCTTTCTATGTCATGGGTCAATTCTTAACCTTTCCATGGAAAGTGACTGCCAGCAGAGCCTCTGGGCAGACATGGCTGGGCAAATACACGAAGGACTTTTACATTAGCTAGAAATGAACAGAGCTCTCACAAATGACTTAAGACTATTATTCTGCCAAAAGCTGGCTGTACTGTTGCGATCACGGTATTTTACTTCAGGTAGCAACCTGATATTTTCACTAAACAAAAATTCTTAACATACTGGACCCTCAGCTCAATATATTTAGAACCACCCAGTTCTCACTGTTATTTTAAACAAGTTCAAGGTGGATTTACAGTGCATGCTAAAGTCCCATGTAAGTTTCAGTTTCTCATAGAAAAATTTAAGGGATTGACATGGGAAATTATCACATATGTTCTTTAAGATGGGATTTATACTGGAAAATGTGCAACATGTACTTTAAAAATATGCTATTCTAGGAGTCATACATTTGTCTTAAAATTGGGTTTCTTATGGTGGTTCAGAGATTTCATATTGAAAACTTCAAGCAAATATAAAACCACCTTTTTAAAAGTTGGTATTTTAAAATTCTAAATTCAGTGATGCCTAGTTTGACACAAGGAACAAACGGTCAATTGTTTAGAAAACTAAAGATTCTATGTTCAAAAGCCAATGCTGTTTTTCTTTTTTGAATTTTATTTTAGTGGAAAGCATACTAAAATATATTACACATATCCTCTAAAATGTCTTAGAGATGTTTACCCTGGACATACCAACCCTTTCTCAATAATTCAGGGCAATCATTGTAAACATCATTTTTCCACTATGCATGACATCTGGGAGTAATTGCACCTGCACCAAATTCTTTTTGAGTTCCATCTGCTTTTTATAGGGTTTTCAGTCTCTTTACGCACAGCTAGCCTGTCAGCTGTCACTTCTTGAAGCCTCAGAGTGCTTCCTCCAATTCTTATCTAATTTGCTACCTCTGACTTACTGTGGGCTAGGGAACCATTTAAACACAACCACACCCATTTGAAATGTGCTAAAATTAGAGTAAACCGGCACTAACAGAAGACCTGAGGGGTTGTTCTACAAATAAGTTGTGTGAATTTGTAGAATCTGTGAACTTTTCTTCCCAAAGCTTTTTTGTTTCCTTTAACTTCCAGATTCTCAGCGATGCTCTTCATCAGATTACTTATGCAAAAGCCTTCAAATACTTTATATATTTCCCCATCATTTTATTACATAAAAATAAAAGCAACTTGCTAATGGTTTTAGTCCACAACTAACCACCAAATAAACAAATTTGCAAGTCAGAAATAAGTTAATTGATTGGATGAACACTTCTCGCCAGTTGCTGAGAACAGGTGATCGGTGATCGAGGGCCACTTGTGAAACTGATTCAGCATTTTGATTTAAGGATGACTCTGGCTCCTGCTTCTTGTATGTAACCTCCTCTGCCTCTGGGTTTTGGACCACTTGGGTGGCTGGCAGAATGCAAAAGTATTCTGGGAAACTGGCAGGGTGGCTGTGTAGGCTGGGATGCTGCCTCTGAATTTAAACACACCCATGGTAAGGGGTTTCAGACTTCTCAATGATTGCAGCACATTCCTTTTCATCTTGAAGTTACAGATTCAGTAAGTGTGTGATGATTCAGATATTT